ACATCAAATTATCAGATATTTTATAGAGATTTTAACAATTAGTATACATTTTGTTTACATTCTAAAATTTATAATTTCTCAAAAATCTAATTTTTTCAGAGTAAATTTTTTTCAAAAATGTTAATTTAAAAAAAAATAATAATTTTTGGTACGGAAAGTTCCAGCAACTTGCCTTAAGGCACGATGTCATTCACCACATGTGTAGTCATTTTACACTTTTTTTTCGCGATTTAAACCCGTTTACCCCGGGCTAAAATAAGAGTTAGCGCCACTAATAAAAGCAGTCTTAATCGGACTTTTACTATATTTCTTTTCCTCCCAGGTACCGTTGGGCCTTCGTGAGTGATGTGGATCTATCCCACATGGACTATGTCGAAGATGACATCACAACACCAAGCAAGAAGTCAAATCCATCACCAACCATCACCAACAATACTGGTGAATCTCGTTCCACATCATCATGTGTCTTTGTGCCACACGTTTGCAGATTGGCTCGTTTAATGGACGTCTTATAAGGACCAGAGAAATATTTCCACCAGACACACCAGTAAGACCAGGTAAGAATAAATTGTATATTCTCATTCTTCTTATTAAATTATCTAAGATTGGTCTTAATTCTTCACTTATTTTTTTTTAAGAGTTATCTTAATCGTAAACAGTTTGTCTTAATGGATTCTTGAGCAATATCGAAAATATCAGTTCAGGTGTTCCTCAGAGATCCATTCTTGGTCCACTACTATTTATTATTTTTATTAATGACATATCTAATATTATTAGCTATCCACATTTATTATTTGCAGATGATCTCAAACTATATCTCAAAATAAATTCTATTGATGATGCTTATTATTACAGTCTCAACTTGACTCTTTCCACTCTTGGTGTGTCTATAACAAATTACATTGAAAATATCAAAGACCAAGATTCTTAGTTTTCACATAAGCGCGTTCCAATACATTTTGATTGTAAAATTTCTAACACCAGCATTGATAGATGTAATAAATTCAAATTTCAAATTTAGGAGTATTATTTGATTCTGGTTTGTTTTTCACGGATCATATAACTGATATTTGTAATAGAGCACAAAAAATCTTTAGGTTTGATACTGAGAAATGTAAACAATTCAATTCTAACAATGCATTTCTGCATGTACTATTCTAATGTACGTTCAAAATTAGAATACGGTTCGATTATTTGGTATCCTCATCAAACCAACAACTCTGATGCGATAGAGAAGGTTCAGCGAAAATTTCTGAAATATCTTTATTATAAAACATATAAAATTCACCCTGAACGTGGTTTTGACCACAACACTTTACTAAAAGAATTTGGTATTCCTTTCCTTGCCTCACGTCGATTTATCTGTACAATTATGTTCTTATTTAAACTTTGCAATAATTCTATAGACCGTCATCTTATTCTTAATCAAATATCCTTTAATGTTCCAAGGCTAATTCTCTCTTAAATTCGCCTATCTTACTTATGTCCTCTAACTTTAACTTAATTAATAATGAAATAGATATTCACAACACTTCACCTAATCAAATAATCTCCATCTGCACAAGTTAACCTTTTTATTCTCTTTTCAAATATCTCATTATTTTATCTTATTCTGTTTATAAATAATATTGTTACATTCTGCATTATATGTAATTTTATGTTAAACATTTATGTTAATAATATATATTGTAATTTTGTATACATTTTAATTTTTATTCATTATGTAAAATAATGTGTTTTTGAGCCCCTTGGAGAAATCTGTGGGCTATATATTTAAAATAAATAAATATTATTAACATTAGTACAGTGACTAATGCGAGTCAATTCCATTAGGTGAACTTCTTCTAACAGTGCAATCGATAAGTCTTTGAGGGATTTGCACCAGTTTTCAAAACTTGAGTCACACGTGGAGCACCCATGCTGCCATGAACGTTGTTGTGGAGCAGGAACAGACGAGAACTTTCTCAACGAGTTCTGTGTTTTCAAGAAATGATATGAAGAGTGATGGATTGTCGGAGAGTTTGAGAGATAAATTGGAATCGGTGTTAGAAGATGATTTTATTGATAAGATGCCAGACTGATGAAATAAATAAATAGGTAAGGAAGATGAAACTAAATTCAAGTCAGATTTTACTGACTTTACTGACACTTTTTTTATATTATATGACAGCACCCTGAATTATTAATATCAATTATTTTATATTTCTATTTCCAGGTAAAGTTTTATTCCTTCGATGAAGATTTCAAAAACAATTGAAATCCTTCTTGTATATGTGTATATAAATATATATATATTTAATTATTACAAATTTAACAAACAAAATGTATAGGATTTGCATAAACCCGTGTGATATAACACTTGTGATGTTAATGTTTGTATATGTTAATGTTATTATTATTATTATTATGTAATTGTATAGAAGAGAAAAGAAAATTATTTTAATATATTTTTATTTAAAGACCAATTTTGATACCGAGAGAAATAATAAATTTGCAAAAATCATGTAGAGGTGTTTTTGTAGCGAGATAAATTAAAGGTTTGAACGAGTATTAGACAGAATATTTATAAATATATAATAATATATATATATATATATTATATATATATATTATATATTCTGAGTGAATAGATAGATATTAATTTAGAAATATGAACAAACAACACTCTTTTTTGCACTAGTTTATTAAATAATAATTTTTACAAACGTTTCGAGATTAGGTTTGTCTCATCATCAGTGTGTTATAATTTAAAATCTGAAATAAGGAAACCTAAATTAGCATTATGTGTTATCCGTTACAATTTGTTCTTTTACTCAGTATAACGAGTGTGTTATAATTAAAAATCTAAAATACAGAAACCTAAATTAGCATTATGTGTTATCCGTTACAGTCTGAGTATAATGGACGACTTGTAACGGATAACACATAATGCTAATTTTAGATTTCCATATTTTAGATTTCAAATTATAACACATGATGATGGGACAAACCTAGTCTCAAAACATTCGTAAAAATTATTATTTAATAAATTAGTGCAAAAAAGAGTGTTGTTTGTTCAAATTTTTAATTTAATATATATATATATATATATATATATATATATATATATACGAGTATATATATATATATATATATATATATATATAAATATATATATATATATATATATATATATATAAATTTAATATAAAATTTAAAATATAAAATATGAACCCACTACACAACAAATAGCTGATTGCTAGTTTCACATATTTAATAAAGACAACTGCCACATTATTGATGCAAAATATTAACTA